TTAAATCGTCTACAAATAGTTTAAATGTGTTCATTAGGGAAAATTAACTAGGAATCTACGGTTGGCTTTCGTCCTGTGTGAATATTTATGGAGGAAAAGCATAAAAATATTTCAAAGTATTGTCACCCAATAAAGGATTGAGATCACTAGTTCAGCTATGATCAATTCACTATGTTCAGGAATACGTGGTACAGTGGTAGAAACGACAGACGTCAAACTAGTATTGTATCTATTCTCGCCGAAGAATTTTTTTTAAATTTTTGCAGCAAGAAATATTTGGAAACAAATTCTTTTTTTCTCGAAAAATATTTTCTCAGGATGAAAGCAAACGGTATATTCTTACTTTCTTTTCCCAAAAGAACACATACAAGCTATTTACACCGAATTTAAAGCCCGGTGAAACTAGCTCTTGCCCTATTTAAAATGCTGCTCCAACCCACTAGTATAGTTCAGCTCTTTATACGTGATTTAAAGTCCGATGGAATCGGGTGCAAATGGAAAAAATTTTACACAAGGCACCGGCTCATCTCATCGAAATTCACCGGCCTTTAAATCGTCTACAAATAGTTCAAATGTGTTCATGAGGGAAAAAGAAGTAGGAATCTACCGTTGGCTATCGTCCAGTGTGAATATTTATGGAGAAAAAGCATCAAAATATTTCAAAGTATTGTCACCGAATAAAGGATTGAGGTCACTAGTTCAGCTATGATCAATTCGCTATGTTCACGAACACGTGGTACAGTGATAGAAACGACAGACGTCATACTAGTATTGGATCTATTCTCGCCGAAGAAATTTTTATAAATTTTAGCACCAAGAAATATTTGGAAACTAATTATTTTTTTTCTCGAAAAATATTTTCTCAGGATGAAAGCAAACAGTATATTCTTAATTTCTTTACCCAAAAGAACACATACAAGCTATTTACACCGAATTTAAAGCCCGGTGAAACTAGCTCTTGCCCTATTTAAAATGCTGCTCCAACCCACTAGTATAGTTCAGCTCATTATACGTGATTTAAAGTGCGATGGAATCGGGTGCAAATGGAGAAAATTTTACATAAGGCACCGGCTCATCTCATCGAAATTGACCGGCCTTTAAATCGTCTACAAATAGTTCAAATGTGTTCATAAGGGAAAAAGAAGTAGGAATCTACCGTTGGCTATCGTCCTGTGTGAATATTTATGGAGAAAAAGCATCCAAATATTTCAAAGTATTGTCACCGAATAAAGGATTGAGATCACTAGTTCAGCTATGATCAATTTGCTATGTTCAGGAACACGTGGTACAGTGCTAGAAACGACAGACGTCAAACTACTATTGGATCTATTGACGCCGAAGAAATTTTTTTATATTTTAGCACCAAGACTGAATATTTGGAAATTAATTCTTTTCTTCCACCAAAAATATTTTCTCAAGATGAAAGCAAACGGTATATTCCCACTTACTATACCCAAAAGAATAATAGCTGAACTAGTGTTCTCAATCTTTTATTCGGCGACAATACTTTGAAATATTTTTATACTTTTTCTCCATAAATGTTCTCACAGGACGAAAGCCAACGGTCGATTCCTATTTATTTTTCCCTAATAAACAGATTTAAACTATTTGTAGACGATTTAAAGGCTCGTGAATTTCGGTGAAATGAGCCGGTGCCTTGTAGAAAAAAAGAATTAATTTCCAAATATTCCGTGTTGGTGCTAAAATATAAAAATTTTCTGTGGCGAGAATCGAACCATTACTCATTTGACGTCTGTAGTTTCTACCACTGAACCACGTGTTCCTGAACATAGCGAATTGATCATAGCTGAACGTTTTCGTTTTCCCTTATGAACACATTTAAACTATTTGTAGATTTAAAGGCCGGTGAATTTCGACGAGATGAGCCGGTGCCTTGTGTAAAATTTTCTCCATTTGCACCCGATTCCATCGGACTTTAAATCACGTATAAAGAGCTGAACAATACTAGTGGGTTGGAGCAGCATTTTAAATAGGGCAAGAGCTGGTTTCACCGGGCTTTAAATTCGGTGTTAATAGCTTGTATGTGTTCTTTTGGGTAAAGAAAGTAAGAATATATCGTTTGCTTTCATCCTGAGAAAATATTTTTCGAGAAAAAAAAATAATTAGTTTCCAAATATTTGCTGGTGCTAAAATATAAAAAAATTTCTTCGGCGAAAATATATCCAATACTAGTTTCACATCTGTCGTTTCTACCACTGTACCACGTGTTCCTGAACATAGCGAATTGATCATAGCTGAACTAGTGATCTCAATCCTTTATTCGGTGACAATACTTTGAAATATTTTTATGCTTTTTCTCCATAAATATTCACACAGGACGATAGCCAACGGTAGATTCCTACTTCTTTTTCCCTTATGAACACATTTAAACTATTTGTAGACGATTTAAAGGCCGGTGAATTTCGATGAGATGAGCCGGTGCCTTGTGTAAAATTTTCTCCATTTGCACCCGATTCCATCGGACTTTAAATCACGTATAAAGAGCTGAACAATACTAGTGGGTTGGAGCAGCATTTTAAATAGGGCAAGAGCTGGTTTCACCGGGCTTTAAATTCGGTGTAAATAGCTTGTATGTGTTCTTTTGGATAAAGAAAGTAAGAATATACCGTTTGCTTTCATCCTGAGAAAATATTTTTCAAGAAAAAAAAGAATTAGTTTCCAAATATTTTTTGGTGCTAAAATTTAAAAAAATTTCTTCGGCGAGAATAGATCCAATACTAGTTTGACGTCTGTCGTTTCTACCACTGTACCACGTGTTCCTGAACATAACGAATTGAACATAGCTGAACTAGTGATCTCAATCCTTTATTCGGTGACAATACTTTGAAATATTTTATGCTTTTTCTCCATAAATATTCACACAGGACGATAGCCAACGGTAGATTCCTACTTCTTTTTCCCTTATGAACACATTTAAACTATTTGTAGACGATTTAAAGGCCGGTGAATTTCGATGAGATGAGCCGGTGCCTTGTGTAAAATTTTCTCCATTTGCACCCGATTCCATCGGACTTTAAATCACGTATAAAGAGCTGAACAATACTAGTGGGTTGGAGCAGCATTTTAAATAGGGCAAGAGCTGGTTTCACCGGGCTTTAAATTCGGTGTAAATAGCTTGTATGTGTTCTTTTGGATAAAGAAAGTAAGAATATACCGTTTGCTTTCATCCTGAGAAAATATTTTTCGAGAAAAAAAAGAATTAGTTTCCAAATATTTTTTGGTGCTAAAATTTAAAAAAAATTCTTCGGCGAGAATAGATCCAATACTAGTTTGACGTCTGTCGTTTCTACCACTGTACCACGTGTTCCTGAACATAGCGAATTGATCATAGCTGAACTAGTGATCTCAATCCTTTATTCGGTGACAATACTTTGTATGTGAGTTTCGCTAACACTGGGTGCACATACTGCGATTTCAATCAGCCAATAGACACTCCTTAAATTTGCTTGCTGGCAATGAAAACCATTTAGGGAGCATTCATTTTTTAGCTGGGGGGGGTGGGCCGGAGGAACTGATGTCTAATTCCATGCGAAAACTTGGAACCCCCAAGACAAAAGTTGATAAAAAATTATGACCCCCTATTTTTTTACTGAAAATTTTTTGACCCCTCATCCTAACTATTAATCCACACATTGTCGTTTCCATAGCGTTTCAGGGCCGTAGGAAGCTCTTTTTGGGGGGCTGAAAGCGAGGGCCGAAGGCCCGAGGAAATTTTTAAATCTAGAGTCTCTGAAATGCCATTTCCTGGCCTTTGGGGGAAGATTTGACAGAATTCTGATGGTCAGAAAACAGCGTTTTAGTATGTCGAAATTGACAATTTGGTAGTATTTAATTTACTATATATAGGCGTATTTAATTTACTATATATTGGATAACTAGGATAAGTTGCAGGAAACTGTGGGTACTATCTTTATTCTTTGCAGTTTGTCATGGATAATGTAGCCGCTTAAAATTAATAAAGCTTAAAACTGATAAAGGCTGCATGATTTTGAAGTCATGCACTCCTTGAAATCATGCATGATTTTGAAATCATGCTACGGTCCTGTGTTTTCTTTCATTCATGTTTCACACAAAAACGGATAAAAACAAGGTCAATTGACAAACGTCATGGAAATGTTTTTCTATGGACTGTGTGAACAGAGCGTCAAATGAATTTTGCTTCATTGTTAAAGATGACGAGATAGTTGATTGATTCTGGACCTTTTTACCATTCTTGATCCAAATATTTCCAAATTCTATAAAATTATATTGGTGATTTTTTCTCTGATTATTTTTATGACCCCCTCCATTTATACCAAAACTATAAAAAGACCCTCCCCTTTTAAGCATGTCAAAATTGGCTGACCCACCCCCAAATTCCTCCGGCCCACCCGCCCAGCTAAAAAATGAATGCTCCCTTATCTTCAATGGATTGCATTGTTTACCTCAGTTTCAAGCTATTGTTTTGTGTTGGGAAAATTTAGGAAGTGTGACTATTTTATGGTTTGGCGTTAAACCACGATCCAGTCTGTGGTACAATAGGTGGGCTCGTTATGGTTGTGTGTTTACATATAACACATTTTCACAGTTTGCGATGCAAAAAAGGTGACCAAAGTGGATTAAGATTTGTGTGAAATTAGATCAGGGTTAGGGCATAATTCCAGTCCTCACACGAAGCTCCTCGCAGTGAGTGCTTGCGTCTAATTAAAATTAACTCGTAAGCATTGTGATTGGATGAAAGTACTCATGTATGCACTCGCAGATCACAGCGAGCTGCGAGGAGCTTTGTGCGCGAGGACTGGAAATGCGCCCTTAGAATAGGGGGTTGGATTGGGGTTAGGTTCGCCTATTTTGCCCATTATCATTAAAATAAGGCGAATGTTTAATTGATCATTATCATTAAAATAAGGCGAATGGTTAATTGATCATTATCATTAAAATAAGGGTGCGGACATGCTGAAATTCGAGCAGGATAAAGGGTTGAAGAGGGCGCTGATGAGTCATTTTTTGAAAGTAGATTCCAGGTTCCGACCAGTTCCGACCGCAAAGAAATTCAATATGGCGGCCAGGTATGATTTTGTATTTATTTTGTTTAAAGTTGACATTTTAATCTTCCCTTTTATAGTCGTTATATTAAAATATTAGAACTATACTGAAATATATATTCAACAACAATTCTACGCTCTCAAAATATCCTAGAACTTTGGAACAAGTCACTGAATCAGCAAATGCCGCAGGGGTGTCAACAGAGACTGGTATAGTTCAAGTGTTGAGGTTCTCAGACAATCTCATGAGTGAAGAATATAAATTGTTAGAGTTGCCTTCTGGCGTATTGGATAGTTTTCAAAATAAGGAAAGGTGAGATATTCAGGGTTCGAATTGGACAATTAGTTAAAAAATGATGTGCAACTTTTTTTTTAATGTGGCTGTTTATAATTTTTATAAAATAGGTTCATGATTGTCTTAGCTACTCATTCAAACATGTACAATGAAACTGCAAAAAATTAATACTTTTTAAAATATTTTAATACTTTTTAAATTTGTTTGCAATCTTTGATGCACAAACCTATTAAATTAACCTATTAAACACTGTGACACATACAGTAACGCACACATCAGTCATGTATTTGTCTGTCTGTCTGTCATGGTGGCTAAAATTTGACACCTTCCATGTCGCTAGTGTGCATGCAAAAGCACCTTTTTATAAATTATCTCCTATTCCAAAATTGGTCCCGAAGAAAATTGGGGGCCCCCTCCCCCCTTGGTTGCTACGAAGCTGCATGACGGGTTAAATCAAAATTGTTTCAATTTCCAAGTGTTGTTATCCGTGGGGAATTACAAGATGACGCTGTGCTGTGCACTGAAAAGGAAACATTTGATTTGAAGCTTGCTGACACATCCAATACAATGTTACTCGCTCCAAATACACTCCTGCCAGAAATGCCAGGTATAGTTAATGTTAAATACTACCCAGTAAGGGAATGTGATGTGACATGCTACTTCCAAAACCAATGCCCTTTCAGTGAATATTATTGTCAATAATACTTCCTTTTTCATTTCTTCTAGAATTTAAATCTTCAGAAAGTATAAGAGAAAGTGAGGTCAGGACGAATTCTGAAAGAAAATGACACTGTGATAATCACAGATGAACAGACAGTAGACAAACAGACAAAACAGTAGAAATACTACCTACACCGGACCCCACTTTTGAAAATTTGAAATATCATTCAGGTAGTTCAGACAGGAACCACAGTAACTTATTGTAGAATACTATCAACACTGGACCACCACGTTTGAGATATCTTTTTAAGGTAGTCCAGACACAAACTACGGCAGCTTATTGTAGAATACTACCTACACTCAGGGGCGTAGCTAGAGGCGGGAGGAATTCATCACAGATTTGGCAAATTATGTCTGCTAGACTCGGCAAATTGTTTTCGGATTTGTCGAGAAATTGGAAAATGTTTTAGTGGCTCGGAATAAAGCGGTTGTAGTGACTCTGCAAAATTTGCCTTGCTAACTCTGAAGAATTCACTTACACCCCCCTCCCCCATTCAAAGAGGTCTAGCGATGCCCCTGCCTACACTGGACCACCTGACCACGTTTGAGCACACAAACCACAGCAGCTTATTGTAGAATACTACCTACACTGGACCTCATGTTTGAGATTTTTTTTTTAGTATAGCATCTTAGCATCTGATGTTGTGTGTGTATTATTCAGATATGTGGCTGTGTATCCGTCTATTATGAACTGCGACAGCGGCTACCAAAACTGCAAAAACTAAGAAAACTTTTAGAAGAAACTGCATATAGGGGAGAAACGTTTGAAAAACAAATTAAAGATGGTTTTGCCAGGGTAGGTATTGCAGGAACAAAAAAACCATAATAATTTGGCCGATTAATACTAGACTTGTCAGGATGAATCATCTGTCAAATATTTGCATAAGTTCATAGTTTGTCTACCCAGGGGCTGTTCATATAGCTATTTTAAAATGAAGATATATGATTGTAAAAATTTAAACCGTCCTAGTTTAGCGATAGTTTATTCCATGTTTGAGACATAGGCAGGGGCGTTGAAGTTTGAACAGGAATAGTTGTCTGTATGTGTTGTTTGATTGTGTAATTATAGACAAACCTAAATAAATAAATATGAGCTGATAATCCTGATATAATACCAGGATAAATCAGTATCTTAAATGTCATTTTCGATATTTATCAAAGCCGTTATAAAAGCTTTATTAATTAAACAAATCATCCTGGTTAACTAGGCCAGCCTGTCACCATATGAACAGCCGTTCAGGTGAACATAATTTGTTCCCAGGACCTTTGGACCATTGCCAGTATTCTAGTTTGTCAGGGTGATCCTGTCAGATCCAGACAGATGAATATAACGGTCCAGTTAATCTGATGTTTCAGTACACACTCGAAGATCTACGGGAGAGAGTTCAAGCAAGTGAAAAAGAGCTAAGAGAAGGATTAAAGAAATTAGAAGCACTAGAAATGAATGGTGAGTTGAAAAAAGTATGTAAGACCAAAAAATACTTGAGTTTCCTATTTCTTGTTGCAAAAGATACGGTTTTCTTGCAAACTTCAGATAGAAGATGGGTCGGTGATTTCAGAAGCTAGGTTGGTTAGGGAGACTGGAAACCTGGGTACTTTTTTTGCCTAACTTCATTATAATTTCACCTCAGTTGCATGCGAGAAGAGTTGATTGTGAAGGTTTGCTTAAAATCAAGACTCAATAGTCAATTTGCACTCTTGAACACTGTAGTGCTTGCAAAAAATGTTGCTTTGTGTTTACTGTTGCTACTCGTAAGTTGATTTGTTATAGGTTACATTTCAGCCTGAGTTAGTAGATGCTCCAAATACAGTAAAACTAAAAAATATAGCGTAGCGAAATAGCGAAATAGTTCGGTACATTTTGTAAGCAGTAGCTGTAGTCAGTAGCGAACTACCTTTGTTCAAAAGTAGCAGTAGTTGTAGCTGACTACATATTTTTGAAGTAGCTGTAGTTATAGCGAACTACAAAAATTTTGTAGTCAACCCACCCTTGATTTATATTCAGGTTACTGGCGAATACTGGAAACGGAATATTGTGAAAAGGTCGTAGTTGCTATACTTAACTTGATGGAAGAAAATTCCTGGAGTTACGACCGTGTTCCTATGAAGGAGACGTGTGACGTATTAGAGGAACTGGAACCTAGGTAATTGGAGTCTTGTTACCGTTTGGTCTCGACTGTCGTGATCTAACTTCCCTCTTGTGTGCTATATGCAAACTTAACCAATCAAGATGTTGTTCACACAATGAGCCTTCCCAGACAAGGAAGAGGTTATTTCGTTGTCCTCAGAGTGACAAAACGTAACAAAGCAACGGTTTTACTAACACTAACCCTATTCCAAACACCAACTCTAACCTAACCTAACCTTACTCCAAGTTTGTTTCTAAACCAATCTTGAAGAAAAAGTTTTGACGAAATGTCATTCTGAGGTCGGCGAAATAACTTCTTCCCCAGACAATGGGCCTTTCCAGACCCAAATATATTTTAGTGCCTGCAAAAAAGTATATTTTAAGCTCACCCATGTCATGATCCCAGGGCTCTAGCTTGCGTCAAACGTGGACGTTCTTGTTATATTTTTCGGGTAGTTTGATCGTTCAATCTTTCAAGTATATCGATCCCTTGGTCACAGCCGTTATTAGAGTAATCATTTTTGTTCGCAGGTTTGTTATTTCGCACTGTCTTCAGTGCTACGGTGAAGCAGTTTCGATGGAAACCGAACAAGGTCAGTGACGAGCCGTGTGCAGTTGTAGATTCGAGTTTCTAACTGTGCTTATCAACTTTGTCAAATGTTCATTGTTTTATTTCTGCACAGATAACGGAGAGACATATTACAAATTATCCGAAGCGAAAGTGTGTGTATTTTTTGCGGAGTTTTTGTTGCGACCAGCAGGAAGGGTTAGTATACTACTCATTTTCACGTGTGGTCAAAATACACCATTTGGACAATGGACCATTTGCATTATGGACTAAATTTTGATCTAAACAAGTCTAGACAAATATTTCATCACAGCTTGAAAGAGCATCACAAAATTAGTAATATTCCAAAGTTTCGTTGCGAAATGTTGTAAAATGCGGATAATATAGTCTTGCGAAGTTTGCCGTTTTTCAGTCATTTTGTATTACGCACGGGAAATTGACAGCTCAATACCCTTTGGGGCTGTCAATTTCCCGTTTGTAATAGAAAGTGACTGAAAAACGGCAAACTTCACAAGGCTATTTTACAACATTTCGCAACGAAACTTTGGAATATTACTAATTTTGCGATGCTCTTTCAAGCTGTGATGAAATATTTGTCTAGACTTGTTTAGATCAAAATTTACTCTATAATGCAAATGGTACATTACGCCACAAATCTCTCCTTGGCCAGCGAGTCTCAT